CCAGGCAATAGTTAGCTGCTACCAAAATCTAAAAATATATATATTTTGCTCATAAATACTATACTTCTGGGTTTCTTGGCAGAGAACACATTTAGAGTTTGTTTGGATTTTTTGGCATTCTCCTTTTTCACCTCTTAAGGAAAATTAAACCGATATTTGCATGCTAAGGTTCATCAGTGTTCTGGAATATGGGAGTAGTTCCTCTTTACTTCTGCCTGCTAAGCAGTGTTGAACTAAACTTACACTGCCAGTTCCCTAAGCTGCATTACTTTTGCAGCGTGTTTTGGAAAAGTGTACTATTTTTCATGGTATCTTGATGGGAAGTCCAAGTTCTCCTCAGAAATACACAAAAATAAATCTAATCAGAACAAACTAACAGTACAAAATTTTGCAGTCCAAAAATGTTTTTCCCCTTTTCTGTCTCCATAAAAATATGTATGGAAAAGGTTATTCAAAGATCAGACTTAAAACCAACTGGCCTGGTGTTAGAGAGGATGTGGGGCTGTGTGCTTGCAGTGCCAGGGAATACACAAGATTACGTTTCTATTGCAGCGTGGAATGGTGCCAGTACATGTTTATGTTTTAGTATTTCATTAATAAATTGTAGGCCTCCAAAATAACAAACCAAGGAAAAGAGCAAGACGACGAGGGAACGTACAAAATTTTCCTGCAGCTGTTTGTTTCTGCGGGTCAGTTATGATGGCTTGAAGGCTTTGGTCAGCTATGCAATGAAAAAGCAGCTCATGCTTGCAAAATCTTTCTTTTTCAACAACAAGCAAAACCTTTCTCTTCCTCCATCTCCAGTAGTTTGACTTAAACAATTTGATTTTTTTTTTTTTACTGGTTTCAATAAAGTGCCAATTTATTTAAAACAGTCTAGAGGGCAACTCTCCTGCTCTATTAACAACATCTTGAGCATAAAATGGACTTAGAAAACCTCATTTTTTTAAATTAATAATACATTTATTTGATTCCCAATGGGAGGATAAATACTTATAGAGCTGTTGCTTAAAAATATAATTAGTATTTTATTTTAATAAAATTAAAAAAACTAAATGACTACTGTGAGCGTAAAGGAACATAAGCTGCAAATTTAACAGTTACTATGCAAGGATAAGAAGCATTCTGATGAGGATAACAGACAGACTGGAAATAGCTTTCTAATCTATAGTCCATTTCTGTTCAAGATAGCAGTGTGTTTAACTCTTGTTAAGCAGAACTTCAAACGTGTGTTAAGGCTGTCCTGAAGACTTTTTCTGAATTGAGGCTAGGCTCCTATTTTAATCCTACTTTTTTTTCATTGTATTTTTTTATTCTTATATCAATAACATCAGCCTTTAACAATAACAACAACAAACAAGACAAATCCTGCTAGCCTAGCCCATACCAATATCATACTCCCAGTTCCCTGAGGTACCTTACGAATTAGGTCAATTAATAGAGCTCTTCATATGAGCACCAATTAACATGCAATCAGCCTGAATATGAGTCATTGTCAAAAAAAAAAAAAATCAAGCTAGAAGGGCCCTCTGGAAGTCACCTAGTCCTACTCCCTCTCAAAGCAGGGGGAAACTTCAAAGTCAAATCAGGTTCAAAGTTAGATCAGGTTGCTCAAGGGTCTTGTCCAGTCAAGTTCTGAGTATCTCCGGTATTTCCAGTAGTTTCTTCCCTTTAAAAAATACCAAGAAAATATAAGCTGCTTTGGGTTGTTCTCTCCTCCCCCCCATTTCTTTCTTACGCTGAGAAAGACCAGAGATTTGGTTGTAATCTAGCTCAGTGGCGCAAAACAAATTTGACTTTCATTAGAACATCTTACTCAAAAAATAAAGATTTAAAAGCAACCAAAATGAGGTGCTCAAAATAAGCACTTTATTCTCACAAGCCTTAGTTTCTTTTTGTTTTCACAATGCATGAAACAAATGTCTACGTTTCTTGCATTTTTTCTTTACAATTTGATTGCTATTCCAACAGGAGTTCCACCAGAAGTACAGCGTGAAACTGAGATGTGTTTCTCACCTGCAAGGTAAATCATACTACTTTCATGCTCAGCTCGCGCTAAGATTTTGTGCCCCTCCCATTTTATGGCCCTACAGAAAAACGTGGAGCAAGCCAATTCAGCAGACAAATATGTACTAAAATACATAAGACTGGCATAGCATCAGGACTAAACAACCTGGTTAGTTCAAATTTTTAGCTGAAGTAGTTTGGAACGTGCGAGAAAGCAGAGCCACTCCTTTATCATAGGGCCTATGAATCAGAAAAAAATTTGCTGATTATATAAGCTAATATTGGATTTACCACTGAGGTTTTAGAAAACCTTCCCAAAGACCTTCTAAACAGAGTGTTTAAAAAAACCAAAATAGCAAAAGTTTTTAAAATTCTCATTCAAGTCAGCTCCAGCAATGGAGTTATGAAACTTTATTAAAGATTAAAAAATATCTCCTCTCTCTGAATCCTGGGGGTTAGACTGAGCCATAAGGCATGAGCAACACAGATACAAGATGCCTTTTTACACAACAAGGCATCTCCCAAGCACAGTGGGTGTCTACCGGAGAGCCCCAGCTGTTCCTCTCCTCTGCTTTTAGAGCCTGAGATAACTACAACAGGAGGCAGCACTGAGTAATTAGCACTGCGAGCACCAGGGTGCCGCTGTGGCCTAGACAACAGCCTGCGCTGCATGAACCAACCAAAATGCAACAGTAATACACTCGAGAGGAGTGCCTCTGAAACGAACTTTACATATTCCTCAGGGAATCATTTTGATCTTTTCTTCTTTACTGTAGCATGTAGAGCAGACTCTTCTCATGACTGTATGATGGCTTAACTTTATAAAAAAAATGGGATTGGTGAACAGGAAGTGCTGAGCAGCTCGCTCACATTACAGACAACTGCTCTATACTACAATTCTTCAGTGGGACCTAAAATTTATCCCCCTTAATAATGTATTGTCTTTTTGTTAAGTCAAACTTATAGAAACTATTAGAAAATGCATTTCTAACTTCATCTAAAACAGTGTCTCGATAATACATGTACAGAAAATGAAGCTGTGAGAAGTCACATATTTCATGCGTGTCTGATATACGTCTGCAAACACCACTAGACTCTGCTTACATTACTATGGATTTGTTGTTTTCCTTTATTGAAAAGGTTCACAAAGCCACATTATGTTATGAATTTCTGAAATTCCCTTTGTACTGGCAGAGGCAGCGTCCATTTACCAAATTTACATGTGACCTCTGCATTCTGAGAAGGAGGAGGCATATATTACCTGCCAGGTCTTGTATCAGCGCATTCATACCCAAAAAAACACAGCAACATGTCAAGGGATAACTGGTTGACATGACTGTGCCCAGGAAAGGATCTATTTATTTTAAGTAAGCCTGCCTTCTGCTGAGTCAGTGGTTTTTACTTTCAAGTACCTTTGATGTATGTGCCCAAACTCCTTTAATCTAACCTAGTGTCAGAGAGGAATAACACAGTCTGAACTCTGCTCAGTTCTCATGTTCTTAGTTGTACTCATGTTCTTAAGTTCTCTTTACGTTACATCTGTATACTTTGTTCAGTCTCCGGAATGCCATCTATGCGCCAATTTCTGTATCTTTACTATAGCACTAGGTAACTCTCAGTTTTTAAGGCCAAAGCTTGTAAAGTGCAATAAATAATGAGATAAGGTGAGATGAGCACAGGTGAATTTAACAAATGCTGTGTATAGAACAGAAGCCACAGTCCTCCTGTGTATGTATAAAGAATTAGCGATACCCAGATCAGCTAAACTAGAACAACAACTCTGTCTTAATTCTTGCTTAATTCAATAGGCAAAAAAAAAAGATTTCACAGTTCAGATCTGTTCAGTTTAAAATTGTAGTATAATGAGTTTCTCTAAAGTTAATTACTGAGACTAGAATAAATCCATAGGCTCATTCTTTGATATCCCATTTGCATTGAGAGGAAAACAAAATAGATACTGAGCAACTGTACCTTTAATCTGGGTTCCTACTCTATATGGGGCGATACAGACAACAGAATTACTTTGTAAATCAGACCATTAGTTTTGCTCTAAAAGGTATACCTAAAGGATAAAAATTTTTAAGAATAGGGCCAAGAGCCACAAGCTGTGTAACCTCCTGAAGACTCATTTCACAAAACTGTCAAAAGGCAGGAATTGCCCCTTAGCTTACCTCACTGGGGGAGACCCCGTGGATCAGAAAATGTGAATATGTTTTGTTGGGTTTCTTTGTTGTTGTTGAAGTAGCCTTGTTTCTAACTGTTGTAATCTTTTGTTTACTCTTATCCTTGACAGAATAAGTTAGGCAACTTACTTTTCATCTTTGTTTAGCACTACTCAGTGAAGTTGACACACTCCAGTCCTGCAGATCCTGGCATGTTTTCAAGATGTCAGTTCTTCAGCCTGATTATGGGTTTTCCCTAGTGTCACAACAGGCGCTTTACATGCTATGACAGTAACTAGTAACAGTTACTTGTTCAGTAAACTAGTGATGCCACATGACAGATCTGTGGAGAGTAACCTGCTCTGGCAGGTGTAACACAGTACATCAATTACTTCAATAGCAACGTTATTTAGGAGGAATATACATTTGTAAGATGTTGGCAAAGAGAAATATGATACAATAGCTGAAAATCTTCTACAATCAAATTTTAAATAGAAAATTATCACGGGGGATTTCAGATTCTCCTTGATGCTGAAAGAGCTTAAAGAGACTTCTCACGAAGCAATTCTACATTTCCTAAAAACTAGGTCACTAAAGAATTTCAGAAATCTGAAGTTGGACAACAAATAATTTGCTACTGACTCCAGATAACTAATAGTTTCTACAGATTAAGAAATTCCTTTATACACATATGTCTAAAGGAAACTTAGGAAAGTCAAGCAAATACTTTTCCCTTGACAATTTTAAAATAAAATGCATAGGTCTCCAAGCTGGAAGTAGCTGCAGCTAAAATTACAATCAACAGTTTCAGAATGTACTAGTCGGCGCTACCTTTAGTGTCACTTAAAACTGAACCGAAGGCACTGATCACCACATCAGCTTTCAGACGGACAACCTGATCCTCATCTTCTTTCCAATTTCCATCTTTGTCTTGCTCAGTTCGAACAAACTCCATAGCAACAATTTGTCCACCTTTAAGTACCACTTTCCGAGGGGAGAGGAAAGGCAGAAATTCACACTTCTCTTCTTTTGCAAGTTCCATCTGTAGGAGAAAAGTAATAACATAAAAAACTCAAATATTGTTCTGTTTTCATGAGGAGTTTTGACTCATGATGCTACCATATGTTCTTGTTTAGTAGAAGGCATGTCTACGGTATACAGACAGTTGTCATAATACCAATTTCAGAGCCGCCAGTGCTGTTGAATCAAACAGTTCTAGACAGTAACATTAAGTAGATTTACACTGCAAATATTTTTCTGCTATATTTTTCCTTATCATTTCCTGTTACATGAATGTCTACAACTCCTTCGAGGGCAAAAGAGTTACTTTATGTAACCATCTTTGTCTTTTAAAAGAAGCCCAGTACTAACGAAGCACACGACCAGATTCATGTTCCCTACGATTTTAAGAAGGGTTTGTTATCATATGTTGAAAAACATACGTTAAAAACACAGTCTTGTGAATGACAATCCAAACTTAAGATTTTCTGAATCCCTGCTGTGGTAGAACTCCTGCTGCAATCAATTTTTTTTTTGCTGGAGCAAAGTCTTCAGGGTTTGATCGTGTATGTTTATGTGACAAATACCTTTTTTGCACATGTAATATCCTATCTGATATCATTCTTATGTGGCCATTACTAGTTCAAGCTATTTTGATTTTAAAGGTTTTAAGGCCATTGCATGATCTGGTAATTAGGTACATCAATGACTTTTAGGAATTGGCATAGGCTGCTAACAAAGATTTAGGTTCACAGCAACGACTGATTCTTGATGAGCAAGAACCTGAAAAGCACGCAAGTCTCTTCATTGCAATGGCTTCCATAACCACATTGCGTCTAGAATTCTGAAGGGCAACAGAAACAAGAATCAGTTATGCATCAAGAGACTCCTTGTTCCTTTCTATGCTTTTCCATTCCCCTTGTGTAAGATCTTCAAGATATCCACCTTCTTGAAAAGAGATAACTAAATTCCCATCACTCCCATGATGAAGATGCACTACATATCCCATTACTGTAAATTACACAAGAGTGTAACATATGCACCAAATAAATTATACTGGAAAAAGACCAGCAAAATGAGAAAAAAAATATCTCCCAATAATACTGATATATTGAAAAGGCTAAGTCAATTTCAAAATGTGCAGATATACTGATAAATGCCAAAGTGCAAAACCAAACTAAAAATCAAATCACTGAAATCTGTGATGGATGACATTGCTTCATTCCCAGTGGCAGTGATTCAAAACCAAAATCACTGTAAGTAATTTCCTTAAAAATCTTATGCATTTCCAAGACAACGTTAGGATCACTGACGTTCATTAGACAGTAGCTGGAAGACATCATAGGACCTAACTATGACCTGAAGAATCACCTACAATACTCATGTGGCTGCTTCATTTTGGGGATGTTTGATTTCTGGAGCTCTTCCAAGAGTTTAAGAATTTTATCATGCTTTCTAATTTATAAGAAATTCCACCCCTCTGTATGCAAGTGTATCACTCTGACTTCACAGGGAATCGCACGTGTACAACAGAGGAAAATGATTTATACAGAGCTAATACAAAGTGACTCTCAGATCTTTAATAAGCATTTATACATTTTAAGATTTTTTTTTTTTTTAAAAAAGAAACTTTTTAGTAGATGTCTTTTAACTACCGATCAAGCACACTTTTCCGCCCTACAGAAATAACAACATTAAAAATCGGTATTTCTTCTTGTAAATGCTAATATTCAATTTTACCTCTTCTGGGACAGCCCTGATATTAGTGAATCCCTTTCTGAATACCACAAATACGCGATGAGCTCCACAGCGTAAAGCAGATGTTGCACAGTCAAAAGCAGTGTCTCCTGCCCCAAGTACAATCACAGTTCCATGTATTGATGGCAATGGAGAGTGACAGGCACACATCCCTGAAAGATGAAAGGAAAACCCCATTTTCAAGAAAAGAAACCATTTCTGCATGACAGCTCTAAAAGTACTTGTCCTCAAAGCAGTGTAAAAATTGCATCTTACAGTTTCCAAGCACGCACTGTCACTATCAAATTATTCTGCTTCACTGAAAGACAGTTTTATTCCTATTTTTAAGATACGCTCATTTACGTAATTTCATAGTCAGTTTCGTAAGAAGTAACATCTTTCTATCTGTGAAGGATATAAACTACAACACATTTGTAAGACTGTAGGTCCTATCAGGTTGAAATTAGTACTGTAACATCTTTTTATTCAAAAATTCATTTCTCTCCCAGTTTAAAAAAATGTATTTTAATAGAGTATAAAGAATAATACTTCCTAATAGGAAAAAAATTTTGAGATGCTGAAAGCTTTGTGTAATAGTTTCTCAAACCTGGTTCCTTAGCCACACTTCTCTACAAGGCATTGACGCTATTCTGATTAAGACGTGGTTCTCAGAAGCTATTCTCCATGACAGCTGAACATGACGTAGAAAGAATATTATTACAGTAATTCCTAGATCTTCCATTGGGAGAAAATGTTTTATCTATAGTTTTCCACAAACTGTTTGCAAAAAGTTACATGGAGAGAATGATGACATTACATATTCGTTATCCATAGCTTCTATTTGATGATTCAGTTATACAAGAAATTCTTAAGTAAAACTGAAATATGTGTATGCATGTACTTGATTGCACTTCATCATGAGTTTAAACACAACTGTTGATTAGACAAATTATTGCAATTTAAAAAGAGATACCATAAATAAACACTATAAAACAATGTTCTCAATGAGACTGCAATCATTTCAGTCATGAGGGGTTAAGGTGACTATATAATCACTGCACCGGAAATTTGAGTTATCCTGGTATACCAGTAGCAGATTTTTCGAATGCAATTGTAGAGAAACCCCAGTATCAGTCTTAATCAAGGATACAATGCCTTAAATTCAGACATATAAATGTAGGGAGAGAAGACATCCTGCTACACAGATCCTCTCTCCACTTGTAAAATGCCTGATATATGGCAAATGCTATCACTTTCCCATATGCATATGGCATTACATTTACTGTTTATTCAGTAAGCTTCTATTCTAAAGTATGCTCTCTCTAAACTTTTCTCTGTAACTTATTTTTAATGAACAATTCTCCACAAGAATTGTATAAGGAGTAATGGAAAATGAGCAAGTGCAGCAGGGGAATGGCAGCTCAGAGTGTCGTTCTGAAACTTCTCAAATGGATCACCAACAACAGCCTGCTGGGCTCTTGGTTCCTCTGGCAGCTAAGGTCTCAGTTCTGCTAGTAATTTCACGAGGCTGGAAGGGTGCAGCAAAATTTAAGAATTTGAAACATAACCTAAAGATAACATGGACACTCGTAAGGTAGATTAGTTGTCTATATATTTGCAAAGAGAGCCACTTTTGGAGGAAAGCATGTTAACAAGTGAGATTCAAAACTTAACAGTGGAATCTGACAAGTGGGCAGAGTATCTGGACAAGTCTTTTACTTAGAGAACTTTCATCATAAAATTGAGGGGCATAGCAGGATAGATCAGAATATAGAATGAGTATATTTTAGTTCAAAATTCCATGCTTTAGACAGCGAGAAGTGGCTACAGCTACAAAAGGACAGGAAAATTAACGAAAATAAAAGACTACACTAATTAACAAACAACAGCTACACTGACATCAAAGAGATATCTATTACTGTCAGTCAGAAAAGGGGGTATCTTCATCGGTCTTCATTTTTGCATTGTAGACTTAATACATAAAATACCATTACATATCCTGGCAAATAGGAAGTGCTACTTTGCAACATTTTCAAAGATGTGCATCCCAGTATTATAGATACTTATGCAAACAGGTAACAAAGTACATGAGTTCTACCTGTTTGTACAGAATTCTATAAAGTATTTTTAGTCAAACTAATACAAGATGAATTGGTTTGGAGAATTTATTTTTCCTTTGTTAATCAACAAATGTTTTACTGTGCAGATTCTCAATCTGTTTCTTTTTAGATATCTCTTTCTTCAAGAAGATCTTTTCTCCCAACTCATATGAGCTCATAAAACCAGATAAAAATAAACTATTAGATCAAAACAGCAGAGAGATGGGATAGATGGGATACCGAATAGACAGAATTTCCCTTCCTAAATATTTTGTATAAAAGGGGGTAATAAACTTTACTTTTATTTGCAGAACAATTAATTAGCCATAAGACATTTTCTTTAAGATGCTGTTTGTGGAAAGTCTACTAAATGAGTACACAGCCCTATTTGACGTTAAAGTAAATTTCCAAATGGTCTAAAGAAATCCAGTTTGTAGATAAAAAAGGTATATGTGCGATTAAATACAGAGTAATATGTGCAGGACCACATGAGGTGTTGAATATATGTCTAGAAAACTGTGCACTGAATTAGATTTTATTAATACTTTGGGGGACCTAGACTGTGAATGAACGTGGTGTAGAAATCAGGACCTCATGTGATACATTTGTCTGAAGGGTCCATAAACCCCACATTCAGGGCCACTGAAAGCAGCTATACTTCTTGTAGAGCACACTCAGTTACCTCTGCACTCAAAACAAAGACATAAAAGCATAAAACAAGAATTATATTTGATGCCTGTGAAGTGAGCATTGTCTTCTTAATCCCTGGCATACTACTGTTGTCCTGGGTCCTTAGACTAAGTTTTTTGGGTAAGGGACTAGTGTTTCCTTAAATGCATCTGCAAAACACACAGCATGACTGACTGAGGATCAACATGCTAAAAGTAAAACTAGTTGTCAATAGTATACAAAGCAGCTGCTTATATGGCTTGGCAACACCTTCTTCAGTATCAGATCATTTCAAGACCACCTTATGCTCACTATGTGTTATTTATATCAAGATAATAATTTACACAAATAAGCTTATGACACCTTTTGAATTTAAATCAACATAACAAACATAACTTATCTGGGTAATAAACAGGGTAAACTGCCATATGTTTATATATTTATATAATATGTCTTTATTTGCTTTACAGTCTCTATGAGTGACCTTCTTGACCATTCTCCTGAGGTTGCAGGTCATCAGGAGAAAATCCTGCCTAAGACCTGTTCATTGGGAGATGCTTCTTAATTCCATGTGCTACTGCACACCAGTTGTGCATTCTGACACATCAGGAACTGCTAAACACTTACTGAACATGATTACAATGAAAACATATTATCACACACCTGGTTTACTTGCCATTGCTACCAAAGGTAGAAAGTCTTTAGATGTATAGAATCCTTGATCCATTCTCAGTCCTTGGAATATACTGTCTCTGTTTGGTTCTGGCAAACCTAAAATAGATATTTTAAAGTAATTAGAACTAGAAGAGAAATTGCAATGACAAATATATATTTCACGTTACATGCACATTCTCAAAACCTCCTCAACACAAGCAGTTTTATAAAACCTCAGGTGTCAAACTTCCTAGGAGGACATCATAAATGGCTGCATTTTCGTGTTTATAGTCTGCAGATCACTGGTGCGCTTTTAATAGTACTGACACTTGAAATTAGGTTGCTAGATAACTCATGCTTGTAAATAAGTCACACCAAAACAAATGCAAGAGCAGGGGATAGAGAGAACAGGATACACAGGGTTCAGAAGCAGGGAAGCTAGTGGTAGGGAAGACAGGGTAAGACAGTGGTAAACCTTTGCTGTACTACCTTCACACAAATATAACTCTTATTGCTGTGAACTGCTTTCGTTCCTTTTGTTTTGAGGGCTTTTTCAACATAGGTAGTCTGCAGGTAATGTAAATGAAGCAATATCAATCAACTTAACTGATGCTGAGCGGGGCAAAAATGACAATGCTGTAGTTCTGTCTTACTTGTATTTGTATGTCAACGTTTTTGGCCACTCGCTTTTCTCAAAAGCAGTCCTTATTGGCTGAAATTTATCTGTAGCTACTAATAACATACATTTATGTAGAAGCAGTAGGACACAGACAGAGATACACTTCACAACCAATAATAGCAACAGATATCTTTTAATCAAAGAAAGTAGTAAAGAACATCTTACAATTGTTAGAGAACATCATCTCATTGCTGAGAACATTTGGACAACACAGAAAAACTATCAGGCACAGAAGTTAAAATATTTTTTTTATCTAAATGATCCCTGCGGGTACTTTCAACAGGGCATCAACTTTCATATTTAAATCTAAAAAAAGGCATAATATTATCAAAGTATGTTAATTAATAATTGCATGCTGAAGTATATATGCAGTAAATGTTTTTCTAAGAAAACACTAGAAGTAGGTGTAGTCAGAACAAGCTGGCAGAATTGGTGCATGCAAAGCAATCTCGGTTTCCTCCGTTCTTAGGCATGGCTCGCAATAGACTGAGCTGTCACCTCTGAGGCATACTGGCTGCTGGTGGAGAACCCCAATAACACCAGGTTAGCGCCAACAATAAAGGAGGATTGTGCTTTGAGGAATCCTGTTCTGATTAGGGAAGGTTGAGGGCCTTTTTATTTTACTGAAGGAGCACAAAGCTGCCTCATTATAGCATGAGATCAAGGCTCAACTGTAAGAACCCTTAAGATTTTTTCACAAGTCACCTGATATTGGGGAAGTTTCTTAAACTTCTAGATCCCTGACTGAAGTTACTAAAAGAGAAGAAAAAAAGTAGTACATTTTTAGCTTTAACAGTTTCAGTGAAGAGACTGAAAACGTGGCCTCAGTGAATTCAACAGGCTTACAAGTCAAAAAGCAAATAAAAAGAACTCGAAATTTTTGCATTTCAAAAATCTCATGTTTCTGAGCATCATCTTGATCTCTATCAATAAAAACTTTTATGACTCAGTTGCTGAACAGGTAACTTTAAAAATACTGATGATCTATAGTTGGATTTTGAGAAAAATAGGTAAGGAAATCCTAGCACGTACTGAACTTCTCAAGACCTTTGGATGCTGTACTTCCTGGAGGGACTGGAATATCAGTTAATGCAGAATGAATAATGGATATGCTAAGAGGCTGCCAGAGGTATTTTGTGCTTATTGAAAGTACAATATGTAAAAAGCATTCAAGAATTTAAAAAACTGCATTTTTTAAAAAATAATCTCACCATGCATATATTGCTAAAACATCTATGGCAACAAAAGTCCCTCAGCACAAACTCTCAGTGACTGCCTACAGGCCAAGGACAGATTAGTGCAAATTCTGCTATTGAGGTATCCATAAACCAGCTCAGAAGCCTCAGTGTGCTCTTGGGAAGAACACATTTGCCATTAGTGGGAGGTACAATGCAAACTAAAATTAATTTCCTTTCTACCTACTACCTACTCCCTGTTCAAAAACAAGAAGAAACTCTCACAAATAAAAGAATTCCACTTATTTTGCTATTTAAGTCATCTCCTCCTGAAAATGATTCTGTCTCTATTAGTCATTCATATGCCTCCTACTGACTAAAGGAAGAGTCGAATTAAGGGAACGCTGCAAACATTATCTGTTCATGGGTCAGATTCATCACTAGTTGAATGTCACTGAAATCAAAGGAGTTGGATTAAGGATACATTGAATCCAATTATGTTTAGGCTGACTGCTATAATAAAAACAAGCAAACAAAATCAACCCCCCCCCCCCAACTCCCCAAAACCAAAAAAACCCTGTAAGAGGGAGTCAATATAAGTGGCATTTCCTGCAATTTACACTACTCCTTTGCAGAAAACTGCAGGAAAACCAATTTTGCAATATTTACATTTGAAGAAAATGCAGGAGATTTTTCTCTTATTCCTATAAACATCTGGCATAGTTTCAAGCTCTTTGCTAAGCATCCACTGGAAGTTGCACTAAACTCTAATGTATCCCCTTTTGTTGCATATTATTTGCCCTGCTAATGATTGCATTCATTTTTGTTAAAAAAGAGAGAATGGGCCCTTCTTAAAGCCACTAGGGCAGCTAAGAAAGAGGCAGACAGACAAGGACAGACAGAGAAAGAGGTCAAGAACCGATAAGATCCACTTTAGAGAGACACTATTTCATAATAAACAGCCACCCCACAAAAGTACACCTCACAAACAGATTGCTAAATAGCCAACAGCCTCCCAGGAGAGAGAACATTTGAAGAAAAAACAACTACAGAGAAAAAGTACAGTTTAGAGCAAATAGTTTTAGAGAAGAAATAAAATTTGTTAAAAAGTCATCTATGAAAAACAATATTTAGGTCAAAATAATGACCCAGAAGAGAAATTATTTTAAGACCCTTCTCCATCCAAGAGAAATACCCTTTGAAGATGAATTAAAGAGATCCTTTAGCAAAAGGGAGTTCACAAACAGTGCAAAATAGCCAGGAGCCACCCAAGAAAAAACACTTAGAAAAACATGAGGTCTTTCTCCTAGTTTTTCCACTCATGTTAGTCTTAATCAGTTCTCTTTTCTCCAAATCCACCTGCAAGCCATCTAAAAGGTTTTTTATTTATTTACTTATTGTTTAGTATTTCTTACCCTGAAATAATCTTTCATTATTTATTTTATTATTTAAAGTGTTGTGTCTTTAATTAACCCGTACCAACGTCTAAGAAACAATTATTTCCTTCACTGGCAGTGAAGAACAGCCTAAAAACACAGTTCTACCAGTGCCATTCTGATGGACTCTGCAACCAGTTACGCAAGGAACAGGATGCTACAAGGCCAAAGCTCTGGATTTCTTGGAGTTTCAGTCCCTTTATCTGCTGTTGCTGGGGAATAAGCTTCTGAAGGAACTGATTTCTAAACCATATATTGAAGCATCACAGGCTGTAGTAAAATGGCATTTACTAAGAAAACAAAGTAAAAATATCATGAAAATAATGGCTTGCATGATAGATCTAGTTCAGCTCTGCAAAGCGAACCTAGACAATCACGATCTGGGTCATCGCTATTCCTGACCCTCAAGTTTGCTAGGCCCTGCCTTTCATCTCCAGATGCTCCCAGCTCTCTCTCAGTAAACATCATTCTCTTTCAGTGAGAAGCTCTCCTTCTTTCCTTCCTTCACATGATCCACACAGCCTTCTCTCCAGTAGGCTATAACTCTGTGCCTCACCATGAGTGTCTCACTCCAGCCCGACATACTGTACACCTTCCAAACGCATTAGCCAATAATAACAGCAGCTTTGGAAAATAAAGACCGTAACCTCCCATTCTTATACCTGTTACATATAAAAATATATATCTATGTATTTATTTTTTATATATAATAGCATCTACTCCCTGCCAGGGCTTTTTACTCTTTGTTCTCACATAACACTCATGCATGCTGATTTTCTCAACTGGAAGTGTCAAGTTCATCATCTTTATTTAGAGAGAGTCCTCTTAGTGTCCCTTTTTACATTTACTTCTAGCCTACATCAACTATGAATCGCTAAATGATTAGAGTCAGTCTGTCACAGATGCAGAAGGCAATATACAAGAGTGATGCATACGCAGTGTAAGGGGTTGGCCTGCAGAGCAATGCACCTCATCCAGCTGGTTGCTGCACCAAATAAATCAAGGCATGTCAATGCATCAATCAGCTAAGTCTGAAAAGGAAAAAAAAAAAATGCTGTTGCTATTACCGTAACTATTGCCCAGACCTGGAAAGGGGAAGCAGAGGCCCAGCAAGTCTCTCTTTCCTATTTTGATCAAATCCCCTCTCCCCAGAAACAGGAATGCATTCTTGAGCCTGAACTTATTGTTTGAATTACTTAAATCTGACATGTTTGAGCAGATTTACAGTTTCAAATGAACTTCTCAGCAGTCTTAACAACTGACATACAAAATAAGCCCTGTTCCTTGGTCAGGGTCAAACGTAGTCTTCACTGGCAGCTGAATGAAAACAAATCTCCAGACAAAAAAATGGAACACAAGTTAAAGTGTAAACACACAGTAGCCTAAGGGGAGAAAACTTCTACAGCATTGTAAGTTTTTCTTTTTTCTCCACATCTAAACATAAAAGTTTTGCTTGCTTCGTTTTTAATCACGTTAACATCACATCTTGGTAAAACTTAAACTGGACGAGATAAGCAAAAAAAACCTGGGACTTTCAAGCAATATCACCTCTCCTTGTATTCCTAGTTCCAGAAGAGCTGTTATGGAAATGAGAGTACAGAGTCATCAAAATGAGATCTGGCTGAATTGTTTTTACTAACCCTTATTTTGGAGTAAGAATGCAAACTCAGGCTGGATAAAACAATCTGTGTTGGAATACATTAAATAATATTTTTAAAAAGCTGAAACACTCCTTTTTGACATTTTTATAATAGATCTTTCCACATTTTGTTTCAAAATTACATTACATTTATAGATTTACCCAAATCAAATTCAAAACAAAACAGA